TGCCGTATAAACAAAGCCTCTCTTAGATCAGCCTATTATTCCTCTCTTTAACTTGTTGTGTTTGTTTATGACATTGGTTACTATTTTTATTTTTAATCTAGATTTCTGCTGAACTATAAAACCAATCTTAAAACTATGGTGTAGAACCAAAACGAGTCTTCGTCCGTTCGTAAGGTTTCTCTTATTAAAAATTTCAACGATGGGTTAAGGATTAAAAAATATATTCCATAAGAAAGAAAAATTTATATTAACTAACTCTTCAAGATTTTTCTTTGATATAAGATAAAGTTACAAGGCAAAGTGTACTTTAATTCCATAAAAAGCAAAAGAAAGACCACATGCAGCACCATTAAAAGGTTCGAAAAAGAGTATCTTGGGTTACGGGCAAGTTTCATTTTATTTGTTTTCCTTAAAATGTCAAGAAGTATACAAAAGGACACGGCAGTTTCTCAAGAAGTTGGAAATGTGCTTGTAAAGTTAAGGAGAGGGAAAAAATCTTACGGTGAAATAGCAAACACAAGGGGAATTAATCGCTCTACTAATCAAACTATTACAAAAAACTACAATGCAATAAACTTACAAAACGGGAAAAACGAGATATTAATAAAATTGTAATGAATGTACCCATAAATAGTGCTAGAAAATTATGAGCTAATCAATATGCATCCCGAAAGGGTTTCAAATACTTAAAGAGCCAAGGATTTTCATAGGCATCCATAGACATGCATATCCAAACCGCGACGGTCCCTCCACCGTGCTTTTCAGTTGGTAATAAATTTTGAATTAGTTTAAGTTACTAAATTATTTAAATCAGCTTGGAGAAGACTTGACTTGATATATGCTGCCTATGAATAATATATGACTTAATAGCATAGTTAATTCAAAGAGAATCAAAAATTTTAGGTAACTCACTCTATTTTTCAATATCACTATCGCTCTTGTAAAGTGTGTGTGCAATAGTGAGATAAAATTATACTACATAGTGTTTGAGAATATAAGACGGAAGCACCCAGACCCGGCGTACAGCAATACTTTAGTCATTAGAATCCTTCTCAGAGATGAGAATGAATATGCTATCATTTAATTGGTGCAGATAGGAATCGGGAGATAAAACTGAATGGAATTCAAGTTGAGTTGAAAAATTAAAACTTTAAAATCATACGATTATCGATAGTTCAATAATTATTGTTTGCTGATCGTTCTCGATATGGACTTTTACTTCTACTGTGGCACCTGCTTCCATATGACTGGTCCATATTTCTTGTTAAAGCACACATATCCGTAGGAAATTTATTAAAAGTTTCACAAATGATTATGGTTCCTAAAAGTAATTTTTCAAGGATATTTTCTGGTCGATCCATTTTCGATCGAAAATTTATAGGCAGGTTGTGTTTGCTTTTAAAGAAGTAATATTTCCGAAATATTATTTACTGTTTTCAACAAATTGGAAATACCTTTCGTGTTAGTAAAGCATTTTAATTTTTGAGTAATTTCTGTTAGCAGATTTTCCTGGAAACATCTATACCGAAATTTGTACTGGCTAAATAAATCAGCGATCTTTGCCCTTTTGAAATGGGACACGTTCGACAAGCTCGTATTTAACACAATATTGTATTGTGTATGTAGGGTTATATTGTATTATATATAAGGTTATCTATTCGTGGTCAGGATTTCGCACTCTGTTTCAGTAACATGTGTAGAACACTCATTCATGATCTCATATGTTTGGTGCAATGTTTGTCATATTACAAGATGGATCGTTTTCCACACGCTGAACGTGTTAACATAGTACAAATTTATTACCAACTTTATCCACTACGCTGCTTATCCATAGAGTTTGAGGCTATTTTACGGCACGTTATGGCGTATTTTCCACTTGGATTTGCGTCTCCATCCTTACAAAATTCAGCTAACATGCGAACCGAAGCCAGCTGATCACGCAGTGGTTGGAAAATACGCTCATTGAATGCGCGAACAACAGCGTTTGGATTCCGATTTTTTGCATCGAATTTTTTTCACTGGTGAAGCACACTTTCCGCCTGGTTAATATGTGAATATGTAAAATTTTTGCATTTAGGACAGTAAAAATCTACAAATAATTGCCGAAAAATGGTTGCATTCCTGAAAAACCCATCTATGGTGTGACATTTGTCTGAGAGGTGTGATGGGTCTGTACTTTTTTGAAAATGGCGATCGTACTTTTTTAAAAATGGCCGTATATTAACTGGCTTTTACGATCCCGATGTATTGTACCAGGACATCCAACGGGTCAAATCCATTCATCATAACATTTTCGACAAACTGTATTAATTTTAATATCTTTCATAGCAGAGCTTCCTGTTCAAGGAGTGAAACGATCAATAATTGTTAGAAAATATCGTTGATCTTCTGACGGTAGAAGAAACCCAACTACGTCCATGTGGGTACCTTCGATTTGTTGGGATAGGAAAATTTCTAAAAGTCGCCTGTTACTTTATTTGACAGACACTCTTGGCAGTTTCCAGCCTATTTGTCGCTGTCGTGATTTATAGAGGGCCAAACAAGACATTAGAATATTAATTTCCGTATGGCCAGTCATCCATAACTTGAGAATCTGCGAAGTATGGCAAAAGTAGTTTTTCTAAAGTCTGCCGTGAAATAAGGTCTTGCAGTATCTGTGAAAAGGTTAAAGAAAGAATTTTTTGTTTAAGCGGGAAGTTTGAGTTTGATTGCAAAATCTCTTTCAATTCGTCGTAATTATCTTTAACTGCCAAAAATTGTTCATAACCAGTCGAATTAAATTTTTCAATTCGACACAATGTGTGCGCCACAACATCACTGCCTTTGGATATATGTCTAAATACCTGTCGTAAATTGGGTAATGAAGCCCAAATGGGTCCACTGACCCAGACGTAATGGTTCAGGGTTTGTGTTAAAAGCATAAACAAAGGTTTACGATCTGAAATTATGTACGATCTTCCTTCAAGCATATGATTGAAGTCGCGAATTAAGGAGTATACTATCAATAATTCTCAGTGATATGCGCTCTGCTTAGCCTAGGCTGTACTTCAGTTTTTTAAGGGGAAGGTTAGCAGTTACCAGTCATTGTCTATTGCCCAACCACGCCGCCGTTAGCAATTTTAGAGGAGTTAACTTTAAGTGCGCGTTGGGCACCGTCTTTGGGATGCAAAAGTCAAATGCTGCGTCAACTTCTTGACTATAGATGAAATTTAACATTGCTAAGATTCGTCGCCGTTCTTCAACATTGGCAGGCTTGGGAAAATTTATTATGTTTTCAACCGTATCTTTTTTAAATTGTATTCTCAGGTGATTAATAACAAGGACAACACAATTACTTTAGCTTGTCCAAAAAAATATTTCTCTTGGTTGATTACAATTCCATGCTTTTGAGACAATTAAAAATTCTTCTCAGTGCTCATGGCGCTAAAGATACCATATAGACAGAAAACAAAAATTTTGTGTTCGAAGAATATGAAATGTCTGCACGGCGTTACGAAGACCACCACGCATGTTAGAAGCATATATATCCTGGATGACAACTTAAAGTAACTACAGCTGTTTTGCAAACGCCATCCATATAAACATCAGCTTGACAATAAGCTCTGACTAGATTCAAAGCAGTGAAAATGGCGCATCTATTATGATACATACGCCAATCAATAATAAATGGTTTATTGTAGCGTTTAGGAACTGCAATTCTATTAAACTGGCGTTAATCTCCACAACATCGCCATGCGCTGCTCTTGTTAGGTTCGGCGTGATGAATACTTGCCCATTGGGGTCGAGTATGTACGTATAGCCACGTCTAGTTTTTCAAGGTTCAGACGAAAATATCTGGACTGGTCGATCTTTAGCTTCTATATGACGATAGCCAGTTTGTTCCAAGTGATTGATCGATGTCTTACAGATGCGTAGTGCCCGAAAGTAGTTCTGTGGATGGATTGCCGTCTTTATGGATCGTAGCTGTGTCAAGCGAATGTTCTTTTGACTTATTTTGAATGAATGGTGAAAAATCAGTCTTGCCAACACTTTATTTTTAAGATCAGCAGGTAAATGGATGAAATGCTATTATATATAACACCACCTATTGCAAATTTCCAATGAAAGCCACCACGAATGAGACGATCGGCAAAAAAATGGAGAAGCGCAAAAGTCTTAATTTGAGTACCATTGACTGCATATGAACCTAACGGAAAGATCTCGTGTCTTCGACTGAAACGATTTGGAACTGCAGATATATCAGCTCCAGCGCCAATCAAAAAATACCATTTACAATAATAATTTTCATAGAATACGTGCCAAGATGTGACATTTCTGGGTGCCATTACTTCCAAAAACGAAATTAGGTTTTTGATTGTATGAGGTGAATACACTTGTCTTCTCCCCGAACTTGTTGTGACACCAGCACCATTTGTTTTGATAAGGACCTGATTTAGAATGACTATTGAAACGTTGTTTTTAATTCAATGGAAGAGGGTCTTGAACATAAATCTTCAAACCTATTCTGTGCCGGAAATATTTGAGTTTCTCCTGCCGTCTTTGTGATGACATTTTGCTGCTAACGTTTCCCTTCTAACTTAGAACCATCTTACCCGGTGTACATACTTAAAATAAGTAAATAAGTATTTACATGAAATCTGCGAGGTCTTTGTAAAAATAAACCGAAAATATTCTCAATAGATTTATAGATTTAAAAAATAGAACAGACAGGTCACTGTATACATCACCACTTTGGTGTTTAAAAGATTTTGTTAATCTTCTTTTTTTTAATAGAAAATATATATGTGTTCGACTTCTAAAGTCAGTGGACTGCAAATTTGCAGCAAACTTGTTTTGCTCTCCAAAGTATGTTTGTCAATTTAATGAATAGTTAAAACGTCCGGAATTTACAAATAGCCAACAAACTTATGATAGTAAAGATATAAACTAAGCAAATTATTAACGATGTCGTTTGATGTTAATTTAATTTATTTTCTTTCTATATTTTTATGTCCCCGCAGAACTTGAACGGTCATCTCGTATGAAAGAGCATCGACTACAATATTCAAGATCAAGAGGAAGAAAAAGTTAGCTGAACTCTTATAGGCAGCGAAAGAATGAACAAGTATACTAATGTTCAAATACGTATATAAGATATGCAAATTCGCTTATAAGCGAATTAATTTATCTTGGAATTCACTTATACTAACACCTATAATATAATAATATGTACATTTAAGCTTCAAGAAAAAAGTTCCTATTAAGAAATACTAATACAAACGTACATACTTATACTTAAATGGTGATTAACGTGAAAACAAAAAATTCATATAATTAGTTTTAAGGTCGAAAATCTTCTCGGTTTTCTAATCATAAAACTAAAGTGAACGGAAGTTTAAAGATTCATAACATCTTGAAAGTAAGCCAACGTGTTCCTAATATATAAAATATAACCTTAGAGTTAAATCGAAGTTTAAATTATAGGTATATTTAAAGTTATATATGTACATATATACATTAATAAAAGGTAAGAGCAAGCACCTAAATACATCTAAATATATCTACGAATACAGTAAAACGAGGAAAATTTCTCTATAATATTTCTATGAAAAATAAAAAAAAGGAATAACCGATTATACAATTTTGGTAGGTAATAGATTGTCTGGAGGTCTGCACGACTTTACGTTCCAGTTTTAGTTTGCACACAGACATAATAATTACTAACCCCCAAATTGACAGGTCTATTCCAGTTCGAGTTAGTTAAAAAACTGTCTGCCTGCTGCTTCGGTAACTGGTATAAGGTTACTTCTATGTAATTATGCTGAAGACATCTACACAGACATTCTATCAAAATGACCTCTACAAAAATAAAAATTTTTTGGAATATTAAAATTTTTTTTTTCAATTTTTATTTAAATATAACTTAAAAACAAGTTAAACAAATCGAATAATTTCATTGTACTGCAAATTGTTTCCCGAGTTTAAGGAAGATCATGTATCCACTCCTCCTAAAGAAGTATTTTGTAGACCAGAAATCTTCATTTTTATTCTATTACTTTGGTAAGTTTAAAATTGTTATCTGTGCAACTAGTCTCGGGCAATTAAGAACTTGACATTACGCAGAGAAAATGCATTTCGATAGTTGGCGAAAATTAAAAATTCGGACGTAACCGAATTGTGTTTCTTTGCTTTTCCTGTTGTCCTTGTTTCTGTTTGTAATTTTAGGATTTTTTTCACTATAAGTATTTTGTGTCGACCGCAAGCCAAATAGAAATGTGATTTTGCATTTGTGACATCTCAACTGATTTGCTTTGCATTTTTAACGAAACCTGTATTACTGTTGGATTTTTCTTTTATTGAATAAAAACGTGCAAACAACATTAAATATACAATGAGCCAAGTTATTCTCATTGACGAGCAAAGGAAGAAAACTATATTCTATATTAATATTATTATATTATATTCATCATTATGAATATTATTTGCTCATATGGCAAATGAATCTCACTCAAAATTTTAGCAAATTATATATTATGGTTTGGAACGAATATATATTTACCCACTGTCTACTACCCTATATTATAATATACTTGATATTTAGAATGCACGTATATTATAAAATGCATAACTTTTCTACAGGGCCAATCATGATAATGTAAAATTATACCAAAAAATACAGCAGCACCCTTCGATGGTGGGTATAACCACATATTTTTAGGAAGCCGAAACATATATATACATAGTTAATAATGTACAGAAAATTAGATAATATACTACATAAATACATGTGGCTATTGTGCAATAAACATATGTATGAAAAGAGTTTATTTAATATTACTACAATTTTATATGTATGTGCTTCTCTGTGTTGATTTCCCCTTTAACAAGCCGGTATATACTTTTGTGTAGATGGGTAAAAACACAAATTATTGACTGTCTCATCTCTGAACTAATTGCTACTTATTGTTGTAATGTTTTTATGTTGGAGTTAGATTCTTATTGAGATGTAAAGTTCCAAGCTAGCCTTTTGTCATGCCGAATACGTTTTAAATATTTATGGAAACATTACCAAGTATGGTTCGGGATCTGAACATTATAGTAACATGTGTTACTATATTTTTTTGCTGTTCAATATTTTCTACTTAAGTTGCTATGCGTAATGTGTTTCTATCGTGTGCTGAAACAAAGCATAGAAACTCTTGCTCATTCCCAAATTGACGATATATGCACACCAGATATCTTAATCGAACTAATTATTCAAATTATTCTAGTTTTTCTTCATAATATTAGATTGAGTCCTATTCCGATTAATCGTTAATTTTTGGTATTTTTTTGCATAACCGCCGTTTCTTTCCCGTCTAAACATCAAGTAAAACTGAATTTCTGTAAAATTTAAGCAAACTTCTATATAAGCAACAGTAACATTTAGTCATATTACATTTTAAATCGGTTTCTACTATAGTTTGTACGTCATTGGTGAAACCACTTTAGAATTTTCTACTTATTTTTGAGCTTACTCAAAATTAATGGCGTAAGTCAATACTCGAAACACTTCGACCACTTCGTCAAAGGCCGAGTGACGAACAAACTGAAGAGCATAGTTTTTACTTTACAGTATCTACCATAGTAAAGAGCATGTGATCGTTTTTAATCTCAGCGTATTGGCTCATTCGCTCAGTTGCTGACTAAATTATTTTCGTAACAAAAAAATAACAAAAAAAAAATGGAAACGTTGTCATATTGCATTAGCATATCTCTTTTGGAAAAGTAAATAATATATATATATATATATTACATTAGATTTTCGGCCGAAAAGGCGAAATATATCTCTTTGAAACTTCCATTTGCCACATTCCTGATTTGCCGAATCAATTGCGACATATTCCTCTATCCGTTCTGTTTTCGTCCGTCTGCCCAGTAGTATTTGTAGTATATATGTTTTCACCAAATATAACAGTATAGTTTCAACAAACGCTTGCTAAGTAACTCCAAAAAAAGCTAAAAACAACTGCCGATATGCGATTTGATAAATTTAATTTAGAGATAATGAGTATTAAGGATATGCCCCAAAGACGAATATTTACAGCTTCCTCTTACTGCACACTATTTGTTTATGTCATCAAGAAACCTGTAATTATAGGAATCACATATATACATATAATTCAATATTATTAAAATTTTAAATTTAACCCAAAAATAAAACAAAATTTGGCAATATTAAAGTTCCTGAAAATTACAATAATATATGAAGTCTCTTAAAACAAAAAGCGAAAACAACAAGTGTATAAAAACATTAAAATCTTATTTTAAGGAAATCTACTAAGACTGTTTGTTATTCACACATATATAGCATACTTACACATATATATAAGATAAGGCAAACGCAGAAAAATTTGCTTTTTTGGTTTTTGTTACAACGCAATGCCTTTCTCAAACGTTTTTCTTAAGAAAAGCACGCGTGGTCTTTTAGTTCTCCACTCATATTTCATTACTGTTATATATTAATACACACACGCACTCCACAAAGTTCCTATTTTAAGTACTTTAAGATCTATATCATGTGTAAAATTTTTATATAAATATATAATACAAACAAAATATAAAGTAAATATATACACAAGCTAAAATAAGAATAAAGATAGAAAACAGTAACAAAGAAAAAAGTAAAAAAATCACAAAAACTAAGCTGAGAAAATTTTGGGGTTGTAGCTTCCAAGAGATCCACAAATAATCCATTAATAAGCAGGGATGACTGGCTTTTAAAACTAAAGGTCAAAGTAATACATATACATATAATTATGCCCGCCAGAAGGATTACAATTTTCATTTCTTAATACCAAGCTCAACGTATCAAGCTTGTCACAAAGTCACAAGCGTTCTTTCAAACCTGGATAGCCATTGAAAATGTAGACGAAGACTCACTGCTTTGTAAAAGACAGCGCGTTTCAAGTCTTTTTAACGTAACTGTTAAATCAATGATATGGTTTTATTACTATGAGCGTTAAGCCCGTAACAAAATCCTTAAGCGATACACTCCGCATCTTCGAAACGTCAATTTATTTATTTGGACGGGGCAGTTGCTCTTCCGAATATGTGCTCACACTTTCCCTAGCAAATGTTGCCTAGAAAAAGTCAACCCTGTGATTAATCAAAAGTTACACTTTCGCCATTAATCACTCGCCATTTGCCTTATATAACACCCCGCGACTTCCCCAAAAAAAAAAAGTTTTGCCGAGGATAGCAAAGCAGTAAGTGCTAAATTAGGAGGTAACCTAACTCTATTACCTATGGTTATATTACCTTTCGCTTTAAACATTTTAACTCAGCTTTTAACTTTCCGATTGCCGTGTACATCTTTGAAGACGGTACCTTTGCAACGCAGATCGACAGTTAGTGTTGGTATAATGTCTTATATTTAAAAAGCCACGTATGCTGGAAAGCGCACTGGATAGCATAAAACTGTTGAAATGATATAAGTAACCAGATATTTTTTTCGAAGTGTTAAGAAGCACTTTATGTAAACTAACAGTGATGAAGATGTTTTAATCAATGAAAAGGCGTCTCAAAGCAACTTACAAAAATATAAGCACCGCACACCCAATAATAGTCAGCTCCTTATCATAGACAATGTAGCTATTCATAGTTGAATGTAGTACTCTGGGAAAAGAAATGTTAATTTATCTAGCGGCCATATTATATACTGCGTTCAAAATGAAAGATCAATTTTGTATTATCTTTCTTAAATCTATTTATTATTCTAAACGTATTTCGTCGCCTTCGAACGTACTTATGCCAAGGTTTTTTCCAGTTTTCAAAGCTGTCTGCGATTCTGGCTGTATCTCTTCAATCACGCCAAAACGTTGTCTTATGCGTATAGCTAAATCTCATCTCTCGTAATAGTGTGTTCCATGGTCGATGGATACTCAGATATCGTCTCATTACAGTTTGTAACGCGAAGCTTTTTTTCAAAGAAATTTAATGTTTCTGATACCACTCGCAGGTGGACGCGTTTCAGGTCCAAAATGTCCTTCAAAATGTTGTTGAGTGATCCATATGAAATGCCAACAGCGTCGCCAAATTCGCTAACTGTTAATCGACGGTTTATGAGCACCAAGTCTTTGATTTGGTTGCCGTAACTTTCATTGGTAGAGATTGATGGTCGTCGGGGACATTTTTTATCTTCAGCCTGTTCTCGGCCTTTTTTAAACTGTTTGTGCCACTTGAAACCATTTCTTTCCTGAAAATTCTGCTCACTTGCAACCTTTTAGACGTTTTTGCATAGGAAACCTCATTTTGCAAACGAAATGTTTTGCTCAATAAAATCACACATCGCAAATCGAAAAAATACTTATGTGTCGTAGAAAACCTAGGGCAGCTGAAACACTAATGCGGTTTGCAACATGAAATCTGACA